TTGTTCTTGGTCCCCCTCCGTCTTCCTTTCTTTGAACTCCTTTCTCTTCCTGGTTTTGTTTTTTCTTTCCTTCCGCAAATGGTTTCATTCTTTTCTTACTATTGTTTCCGTAAATACAAGTTTTAATAAACTATCAGACATTAAACAAGCAGACAAAACAACCACAAAAATCAATCATAAACAGGGGGCCGTTTCACCCTACAGGGCTGGGCAGCTCCCGCTATTAAGTTGCGGGTCTGCGGCTGCCAGCACTACAGACGCTTTAGTTAAAGTTGCCCCTTGGTCAAAAGTTTAAGTCATGTTAAAGGCCAATCTTAGTGCAATGGATGTCAAACAATTGTGACAAAAAAGGGTTACCGAGAAAACTCTTTAAACTTGTTAAAAACACCACTTCCTGGGCATCCATCCTAGAGCTTCTCCTCTGGGGTCAGGGACCCCGGAATCTGCATTTTAACAAGCTCCCTGGTGATTCTGAATCGGTTGGCTATTTTGTAGACAAGTAGGATTTTTCCGCCCCAAAGTATGTCTCTGTAGCATGAAAATTATTTTAGGTGGATTATTTTTAAGAAACAAAAAGCTCATGGAGAGTTTTTTGCCTCCTTCTTAACTGCCTAAAAAGAATTTAGACAGAGGGTCTGTTCCAGGAAGCGCTCTATCTCCAGAAATACCTACAAAAGAATGTGGGCCGGTCGCGGTGGGCTTGTGAGCAGCTTGGCAGGGCCTGGGGATCACATTTCTGTGTCTCATTGTGTCTGCAGTCTTTCCCTGGCAAACATTCATTTACCAAACATTTGCTCTTCCCATCTTCCTGTGAATGTCCTTCCTCCCCTTTGAAGTCCCGGACCCCTACCCCGCTTCTCCTTAGTTCAGAATGGAATATAAGTCCCAGTTACCTGACCATCTGTGGGCCCTTGTATTCTTATAGAGCCCCCGTATGTACAAAATTAAATGTTTTTTTTTTTTCTCTCTCTCCTATTAATCTGTCTCGAATCAGTTGGATTAATGGACCAGCCAGAAGAACCTACAAGAGTAGAGGAGAAGTTTTTCTTCTTCGACAATTTCAGTGGAAAGCAGACAGATGCGCAGCCATCTCAGAGGACCCTCTCTGAATACTGGCTGGTCCAATTTACTTAGGACCAAAGACCCTTCTGGTGGTGCAGCTTCCTCATCCGATCCTTGGCCTGCAGCATCCTGGAGAGCAGGTCGTGTGGGAGACTTTCTTGCAAACAGGAGGGTCTGCAATTCGGGTCCAAGCATATGGGAATTCTAGACTCTGGATCTGAGGATGCTGTGGGCCATCTCTAGGCTGGGTCTCCCACCAGCTCCCAACCCAAACCACATGGCTCTCTTTCCAGGGCGCATTGCTCAGTGCACCTCAGCCGTTGCATTATGCAAGCTGTGAGGTTCCAAACTTGTGATAAGGAACAGAGGGGGCCCCTGTCATGGGAAGGAAACCCTCACTTAAATTTCCTCCAGGCACAAACATATATCTAACCATGGCTGTCCAACTGGTTATTTTTGGCCAGCCTAATCTGGGGACGATCCGGCTCACGTTCTTGGTTGATTAGCCTGGTACTGGGTGCTCAGTTAGAGAGTCATTGACTGCGTCTTTGCCCCCTTAAAAGCCCTCACTACCTTCTAGGTCTGGTTTCCAGTTTCACTCTCCCAGGTCCTTTCAGTCTCTGGAGAGGGGCCACAGTGCCCTCTGGTGGAACAGCATTGTACAGTCGCCTACGGAAATCCCCAGTGCCCTTAAAAGTCTGGCTCTGCCAGAGCTTGGAAAGCATCTGAGAAAGGTACTCAGCCCAGATGCTGATTGCCAATCAACTCTACCTCTCCTGAGGGCAGATGTACTTGACCAGGAGTCCACGCTTTCCCAGCTCCTAAAAATGAATTTTCCCAGGTTAAATTTTGGGGTCAGCCGGCGGGGGCGGGGGGGGGGGATATATTTTTACATAGAATTCCTCCAATCACTTTTCTTCTGCAAAGCTTTTCTTTGTTCCATTTTTTTTGCAGCTTTAGCCCTGCCAGTCTTCAGGGAGCCATTTTCGAGTCATTTATCGCCTCCTGTGTCACAGCTTGGGTGGAGGCAGTCTTGAGTTGACCTGGGCCCTGGGCAGCCTTGGACAGTGGGGAAGGGAAAAAATGAAACCCAGCTGGACCAGAAAGAGAGAAAGAGCCTGGATGCAGGACTGGAAGGGGTCCCTGGGGAGAAGGATTGTTGGCAGGGGTGTCACCAACACTGGTTTCATTAAGAGTTTTTAATGTCTAAGGAGGCATGTGCTGAAATTTGCTGAGCCTACAGCTCATGGGGATTGAGGAGAGACCAAGTGAGCTAAGCAGAATAAACCAAACCCTCCTCTTGTGGGTGGAAATAGTTTGAAAACCAGCAGAGCAGTGCAGCAGCAAAAGGGAGCCTCAGGGAGAGCAGGTTTCAGAGAGGGGGCCTTGGTCGTCATGGTAACCAAACTGATAGTGATTGAAACTTCCAAGTTGAAAGACATAAAGGACTCTTTGGTTTTTGTTGTTGTTGTTGTTGTTGTTTTAGTAATAGAGCAACCAGGAGCCATGATGGGGGGCGGGGGGCGGGGGAGAGAGAGAGAGAGAGAGAGAGAGAGCGAGCGAGCACGCATTAATTCAGCTTACTCGTGCCAGAATGGAAGGGTTACAAATGGATTCAAGATAATTTAAAACCCAGCAGTTCTGCCCACTGGGAAACAAGTGGGGTGGGGGAACTTTTATCATAATGCACTGAGATTACGCTAGGAAGAGAAGCCCTTAGTGCTCGCCTTAGAAGGGTTTGGAACTCCAAAGATGAGACGGATGGAATTATCAACTCTAGGACCTGCCATTCCCGCTCAGAATGGCGCCAGAAGTGGCAGTCTTTATGGCCACGTTTGTCATTTTCCCATATAATAAAAGGAATTCTATTTCATTACAGGCTTTTCTCAAGTGCTCAAACCGCATCCATCCTTCTCTGGGTCACCGGGGGGTGGTCAGTCCATCTCACGGTTCATGCTGCTGTGGACACACTTGGAGGTAGGAGCTAGGGAGATCTCACTACATTTTCTGTGTATCAGTCTGTGACACTAGGTACCTATGTGGAGACTGCAACACCCTCTTCTCCCGGTGCCTCACTGGGGAACTTGGGGTTGGGGGAGTCCTGTTGAACAGTTTCTGCTTTGCTATGGGGGAGGGGACAGGGTTCTGATAGTTCACTCACTCTTTGCCTTAGTCAGCTTGGGCCATCATAAGAAAATTCCACGGACTGGATAGCTTAAAGAAGAGATGTTTATTTCTCACACTTCTGGAAGCTGGGAGTCCAAGGTCAAGGTGCCAGCTGGTTCGGTTCCTGGTGACGGTGCTCTCCTGGCTTGCAGATGGCCACCTTCTTGCTGCATCCTCACGTGGCCTGGCCATGTGAGAGAGAGCTCTGCTGTCTCTTTCTCTTCTTACCTTTTTGACTTCATTTAACCTTTAAGTGCCTCCTTATAGGCCCTGTCTCCAGATACAATCACAGGGGGTTAGGGCTTCAACACATGAATTTTGCGGGGACACAATTCAGTCCATTAACAATCCTCCATTGACATTAAAAATGAAAAATCAGAATACAGATCAGGACAACTTTGTAAGTTGCAATGACATTTTTTTTCTATTTTTGTTGAGAAAAGAGAAATATTGTGATAAAAAAGTTTATATTTTTTGAGGTTGGGTTAACAGATAGCAGTTAGCATTATTAAAATGCTAAAAAAAATTACTTGGTTTAAAATATTGAGCATAGAATTGTGACTATTTTAAGTTAATATATTTAAGTCTCCCTTACTAATGGCCTAATAGGAAGAATGTTTTCTGGAAATTCTTTTTTCTTTCTTTCTTTCTTTTTTTTAATGATAAATAGAGAGGACAGAGCACAGATAGTCAGCATGTGGATAATAGATATTCTTGAAAGTGATCCCAGAACAAATGGATCAGAAAGATTTAATGGAGCCGAAAAGAGACCCAGGAATGTATATTGAGAGGGCTCGGTATGCCAGGCACGATCAATGATAAAAGTATCACATTGAATCCTATCCTGTCAAAAACAACAAAATATATAACTACAGAGATAAAGGGAGAAATCTCATATGTGTCCACACACTAACAAAGAAACAGAAATCTGGCTGAACTCAGACTTCAGGGTTATAGAACAAAATGCCTGAAGACAGTGGAACAAGGTCTAAATCAATTTCAAAGGTGAGAAATTGTGATAAGATATTTATTGTAGCACAATACGTTGTTAATTTATGAAAATAATAGAGGACATTCTGAGATATGCAAAGACTCAAAAAGCATACCACCCGCGTACCCTTCTTTTTAAAATTACTTAAGGATGTACTAAAGCTGATCGAACGATGGGGTGAAAAAAGAAGTATGGAGAAATTATGGCAGGAAAAGACAAATGGAGAAACTCAAACAGTAAAGGAGAAATACACTAATATTGTTCTCATAATCATGGATTATCATATAATGCAAATTTTTAATTTTCGTTTTTCAATTATGTTGCATGATATTTAACCTAACAAATACTTAATATAGTGTAAAAATAAAAAAATAATAACATTAATATAATTAAAAACAAAATTAAAATAATTAAAGGAAAAGATAAAAATTTTAATGATCGCGAATATCTATATTATAAAACAGTGGATAGACAAGAATTAGGGACCTGACGGGTATAAAAATGACAAACATCTTGGCTCAAGTATGTGTCACATTAAAGATATTTTATTTTTGGCTCTGATATTTAAAAGGTAAGTTAAAAATGCACTTGGAAAAAAATGCACTTGGAAAACTAGCAGGTAAGTATTAGAAGAATTAAAAACTGTTACTACTTCCCTAAAGAACCCTACAGGCTCTATAATTTTATGAATTGGTTAATTTATAATACTATACTATTCCAAAAACATATAAAATGGTAGAATGTTCTATGTGTTATATTACCAAGCTAAGATAACCCTATACCTAACTATGGCACTATACAAAAACTCACAGACCAATCTTGTTTATAAATACAAATGCAAAATCCTAAAACGTACTCTCTGAAATGGCATATTAGATATGTAACAGAAACAAAAATAAATTTCACACAGGTTTAGAATTCAACTTAGTGAATTTTTCATAGTGGTATGAGTGTAAAAATTTTGACACTGCTGTTGTAGTCTAGAGTTGAGCAAGTGAGTAAATATATTGTGGGAGAGACACAAATATTAACCAGAGGAAGACGAGGAAGAAACCTGTGTTTTCTGATGGGAATTAGAGATCTATTATATTTATAAATCATATTCGTACCACCCTTATCAAGGCAATGTTCTCAGTCCTGGGTTGGGGGAACTGGCAACATGTGCCTGATTGGATTTCAGAATTGCTATGGATCAGTGACTGCTAAGTGCTTTTCATTACTCTGTGTTTGAATGGAAGTGGATATTCTGTCCCTGTCTCATTATTGAATTTTGAGACTTGAGAGGAGACATAATTGTTTTTCAGTTCATGGGTCTTTGGTTTAAGAGGAGGTGCAGCTAAGGAACTGCATCCAATGAACCTTATGGGATCTGAATTTGATAGATGACAAGGTCCTGGACTTTGTTCCAATGCTTCTATGAGCAAAACTTTCAGGGAAATATCCTTTGCATGTGGGTTATATAAATAGCTGTCGTCAGAGGGTGAACTATGGTGGAATGTGTCTGCAGATGTGGCAACATTTCTTCACAAGCAACATTCTTTTCTGAATGTGACTTTACCACGCATCCCATCAAGAGATATAGTCAGTCTATTTCCCCTTCTTTTGAATCTAGTCCTGTGACTTGAGTGGAGCAATAGTATGTGGCCAACGTGACATGATGCAAACATAAGTGGGCTTAGTCAAAACCATAGCAAATGTAAGGCACCGTCACTGAGCACTGCCTGAATTGCTGAACTACAGGAGAGTGAGCAATACAATGGTTGTGCTTTTAAGCCACTAAACTTTGGGGTCATTTTTTATATAGCAAATACACTATCAAAGAGCGCTAAGGTCATTTCAAAACAACTCAGGAGCCAACTCAAAGAGACTCTCACTCATTGAAGATGGGCAATTTGAGCAGCAATAAAAATATTAGCGGCAATGTTTTGGAACACATTAAATATATTTAAATCTGTGTGTTCAGGATACTTTAAAGAAAAAAATGAAACTTCCCTGGTTACTTTTAGAAGCTATTAGGGAACCAATTCGTTATTTTGAACACTTTAAATAAAGAATTCAGCATGTATCCTGCCTTGCCTGTACAAATTGTATTTCAAGCTAACCAAATATTGTTGAGGGGAAGCTCTTTGCAGAAAAATTCTGACTAATAAATATAGAAGGGATAATAGAATTATCATTTCACAATTCCTAATGAAATAATGGATTTAGGTAATGAGCATCAGTGGCTGCTAAAATCATTAAGAGAAAGGAAGATATATAATAAATGGGTCGGGCTGATAACACTTGATTAAAAAAGACTTAAGAGACAGATTAGCCAAATGCAGTGTGTGGGATTTGTCTGGATCCTGATACAAACAGATCTACTGTAAAAAGATTTATGAGAAATAGAAAATGTGAACTGTAATGGGAATTTATGGTATTAAAGAAGTATTCAATTTTTTTTGGTGCGCGGTATAATTTTCTAGCTGTAGAGAAATAATCGCGGGAGGTGGAGGATACGACGATGCTATGAGGGGCCTGGATTCGAGTCCAGAGGACAGCTAGTCACATCCCAGACTCACTGACCATCTAAGGACCACTGGCCTCACATCGTCTGTATCCTGAAGCTGGGGGCCCTCCATCCTTCCAGAATGGGGTCAAGGAAGAGACTGGAAACTGTTCTCATTGGCTTCATTAAAAATGAGCAACTCGTTGAGATCTTTTTCGAAATTTGCTTCTAAATCCAGTCCTACCTGACTGAGGTTGGAAGCCTGAAAGAGAAAAAAAGGAAACAGATGTCTAAAAAAAAAAAATAAGGACCATCCAGTCCTACCTGACTGAGGTTGGAAGCCTGAAAGAGAAAAAAAGGAAACAGATGTCTAAAAAAAAAAAAGATTAGGACCATTAAATCACTTGTATTTCTTAGGAGTCCCACACGCCCCTCTGCTGAATGCTGTGCTTCCTCAGCCTTCAGGCAGAGTCGGTGGGGAGATGCAGCTGCTACATCGGAATGAATGAGGTTCTGCCTGGTTGTTAGCTGGGATCTGACAGGTGGTCTGTACTGAAGAGCTGGTTTTGAGAGCTTGATGCGAAGTAGATAAAGGAAAATGATCTCTTGAAAGCCCACTCTTTGAAGGAAGGATGACCCTCCTATTGGCCAAGACTAAGACGGTGCCAGGCATTGAGAGGCTCCCTGAATCAACTGTGCCCTGTACCCCAGCTCTATGCGTGGACACAATTTGTGGCTCGTGAACATGTGGATTTGTGGCATGGAGGGAGGGGCAGAGCTGGGCGAAGATGAAAACCTTCCTTAGACACCTCCTAAGAAATGTCTGTACGAGGGAGAGTCAAAATCAGGATATACTCAAGAGTCTAATGTTAGGAATGTCTTGGACAGCAAACTAGCTGAGAGTTGTCTCTCTCTACCTAGAAAGGATGAAGCCAACACAGCCTGCAGGCAGTTCTGGGTGACGTTTGACTCTACTGGGATGTTTAGGTGTAACAAAGTCCAAGCATGAGCATCCTGGAAGTTTAATTCATTTCATTTTTAAAAATTAATTCAGTTATATCTGTATTTCTGAGGCATGAAGAACAACAGAAGCATAAACTGTCCTTTCTCTCCGTTTGAATGAGGAAGCCAGACAAAATTGACTGTCCTCAGCGGGTGCAGCCTGCCTATCTGGGACTGAGGATGGGTTTTGTTCCAGGCACCGTTTCCAGCATCCTTCCCTGTCTTGCTTGCCACTCGTTTTGACATCCGCCCCTGGCATGTGGAAGGTTTTCTTCTGTAATCCTCGTCTTCCTGAGCCCTCTTCAAAAAGGGATTGGTACAATTCTTGCAAAGTTCTGCTGTCCCCCAAATTAGAGGCAAGTGGAGAGGACGTGAGAGGGACGTGGGACATGCCCTTTACCTTGTAAAAATTTTTGTGGTTGAGAAAGATGAGACGCATGTCCCGTACGAACCACGCCATCGTGTACTCTTTCTCAGCCAGCCTTTCCTTCATCAGGTCCAACCACATGGCTTCCTTAAAGGGCTCAGCATAATCTTTCATCTAGGTACAAAGCCACCAGAGGCGTGATGTTAGCACAGCCATCGTGACGAGACGGATCCCACTTAAACACAACACGAGCCTTTATTTCCAGGGTAATAATACGACTACCGTCTGACACCTGCGTGCCAGGCTTGGTTCTAAGTACCACTGCTGTCTTAACAGGTGATCTCCACAACCACCTTATAAGATAGATGCTATCATAATTACCCTCATTTTACTCATTTGAGGAAACCGAGAGAGAGAGAGGTAAGGAACCCACCCAAGACGTCACGGCTAAAAAGTGGTAGAGCTGGGACTTGAACCCACAGTTTGGCTCCTGAGTCTGAGCAATTAATCCCTAAGCTATCCTTAAGAGAGACGTTCCCACC